CCTATTCTGGGCAACTCTATGGTTAAGGCTGCAATGAGAGGTAGGCGACATGAACACAAAGTCCTTCCAAAGTGACATTCGCATAATCATCGTAGCTACACTCATAACGTGGTGTCTCTACCATACTTCATGGTTCATGCAATCGGTTGTCTGATGGCGTTACCGGTCAACGTCGTTCTGGAAAATGCATTTTTGGGGACTTGTACTGGAGAAAGTAGGGGGATGTTAGCCTTTTTGTCGTACACCATAGAAATTATTTCATCATCCAGCATTTGTGTTCACTACTACGCCCTGCATCCACCTCCAGATCTTGATGCTCCTCTCTCCGAATGTGGCATGAACACTGTACCCTCGGAGGGGCTAAAAGTGGCCATCAAAAATAACTCAGTGGAGAATCTGATTACACATGAGTCCAAGGTTACTCTCATTTCTTACTGTGGGCTAGGTTTGTGTTTGTCTTTCGTTTCCTTTTTGGTTCCGTTCTCTTGTTGGTCTTCCAATTCTATGCGGACAACATTTCGTCTAGATTAGATGGCCTAGAGACAGTGGAATTCTTTCAGCGAAGGCAGTGCTGCATCAATGGCTACGAAAGCATATTTACAGTCTCTTCTACAGTACGCCACATTGTTTGAGTATTTGTTTGGTTTAATTGAGGTGGGCAAAAAAAATCTACTGTACCTACTTTTTGTTGACACAGCTCGAAACTTGCCACGTATCACAGAGTCTAACACCTCAATGCAGCATTGGGTGCGAACGCATTTTGGTGGGCGTTCAACAACTCCACAGCCTACTGCTACGGCTGTCTCGGGATTCACAATGCCTACTACCACCGCTTCCTCCACAACTACGATTGAGATGAACGGTGTTCCTGTCCACGCCCATGTAGCCAGTGCCGAGAGGGAGGGCCGTTACACTAAGGCCAATTCGCCTGTCTGTGATAATCGTTCGCGCAACAAGATTCCCACTCCTTCATCTGTGCCTCAAGTAAGCCGTTTACACACTCCTACTTCTCTAATGTGTACTACTTTTTCCCCCCTCCTCTTTTTGATCCTTGGTTTTACCACCCTCCCTTTTTTTGCAGCTCTCTATTATAAATTTTTTTTACTCTTTTGAAATTGTCTATCCCAGTTTAAGTGGAAGAGAGAGCAGCACGTTGAAGTTGCTTTTCTAATCATAATAATTGCTTTTTCTCACATTCAAGATGTTAGACAGAAGTTAGACAGGCTGGATCACTGAATCTTGATTTTGACAGAAAAGTAACTTTTTTTGTGGCATTAACACACGCACAGGGTTGCTTGACCTTTTCATCACCGGTGTCTTTTTTATCACATGGGTGGGGTGATTGATGCTGCCGGAGGGGAAGGTTGGGAGAGGTGGAGCATAAAAATTTGTACACAACAGAGCACTCGTGTGTTTAGGAGGCAAGTTCTGATATTTGGTGTAGCTTTTTTGGTTTCCTTCCTATTGAATTAGCTTTTTGTGACACAGTGGTACATATGTTCACTCAATTGATAACTGATTCGGCGTTTTCATTGCATTCGGTGCAAACTTTGCAGTTAACCACGGGATCGTGGATCCGGCGATCTTTTATGGGACTTAGTAAGAGCCGACTAAGGAAACAAGTACGTACTGCTTTCCCTTCCCTAACCTCCTCTCCTGCCTACCATCGTGCTAACGCCGCCTTCAGATCGATCAATGCGCACACCCATGCACGCCAAATTTCCTTTCCCCTTCTTTATCAACCACTCATTGTCATAGGAAATGAAACTTGTTCGAGTAAATGCGTACACACAATTCAGTGATTCATCCCTCCCATCCATCTATCCACCCGTCTATTTATCAGCCTGATAAGATGAACGGAGAAAGGGAGGGAAGAGCAGATTGGATCCAATTTCACTCTCCCGATTGCTCCATTCAGCTAATTATTCACCTTAACAACTGATTGTGTGATCAGAAAAAGTGTGTTTTCATCTCTTCAGAGGTTTCTGTTTGCGCGATTCCCTTGTTTGTCTTCGAGGTATAGTACGGTTGTCTTTTGTTTTGTCATGACTCTTAGGTCGTCGTATTAGCCTAGGAGGGGTGGCGGTGTGAGGAGTAGGCGTGTAGTTGTTCATAATTAACTCCCCTGTCTTCCGTGACACAGAGGTGGGATTCCCAAAAGAGTGGTACCTCTCCATCCGACCTTCCATCAGCGCCGTTACCGCCACACAAGACTTGGGCTCAACGGGTCTATGTTAACATGCGTAATAAGAGTCGGGTAGGTGTGCTCTCTCCATAGCCTTGCTTCCTTCTCGTCTAATCCGCCTCGACGGCATTCATTTCTGTCTGCTTTAGCAATACCATCCCACCTCATTCGTCTTCATCCTCTCCTTCCTTTTCGTTGATACCGACTATTCATTTTGTCGACAATAGTTGGATATCATTGGTGTGGACAGGATTTATTTGGGTGCTCCTTTGTTTACGTCACTATCATTCCATTAGACTTTGGTATTTCATTTAAACGTTCTCGCGAAGTGTTTGTGCTCGGGAGTTCTTTTTTTTTTT